GCCTTTGGGAGATGACGCCGCTTCCCTGCCGCTCGTTGAAGGTCACGTCCCGTGCGGGGGTCCTGTTCCCGTCCAGCGCCCCGCGTCCCTGTGAGTCACCGGCACACAGTCGCATCCCCCCTCCGATCTCTTTGTTCCTAAGAGACCTCAGAAGTCAGCAGACGCGAGGCGAGGCGCGGTAGACCAGGGCGACAGGCCAGACGCGCCCGCTCTCGGCTTTGTTCCCACCGGCTGACACCGGAGCGGAGACGCTTTGGAAGCCGGGGACAGCTGGGGGTCCGCTGTGCGCGCGCTTCCAGCTGGGCTCCAGGGCCGCTGGAACGTTTCTTGGAACTTTTGGAAATTGGGGGTGAAGCCAGACCTGCATTTGCTCCTGCCACGTGCTCTGGGAGTGGAACACACCGTGTGTGTGTGTGTGTGTGTGTGTGTGTGTGTGTGTGTGTGTGTGTATTTTCTTTTCCTTCTTGCTTTTCGAGTCACACCCGGAGATGCACAGGGGTTCCTCCTGGCTCTGCACTCAGGAATTATTCCTGGCGGTACTCGGGGAACCATATGAGATGCTGGGAATCGAACCCGGGTCGACTGCGTGCAAGGCAAACACCCTCCCCGCTGGACTATTGCTCCAGCCCCAGTGTGTGTTTTCTTTATTTCCAGACGTGGGCATTCAGGGACCACACAGAATATGCTAATTCAAATCTCAAATCCATGTCAGGGAAAGTCTAAGAGCTTTTTTTTTTTTCTTTTCAATTATTTAATTCCATTTGAACTGTGAGTCATTTATGAAAAGCCTTTTTTGAGATTTCTTTTTCAACCCACTCAGTAGTCTGCGTATTTTGGGGAGAGGGGCTACGCTCCAATTATCCGGGGGCAGTGCTTGGAGAGGGCCAGGTATGCCAGGGATCGAACTCAGGGCCTCGGGACGGACAGCACAGTGGGTAGGGTGCTGGCCTTGCGCGCAGCTCACCTGGGCTTGATGCCTGACAGCCCGAGGAGTGACCCCTGGGCAGAGGCAGGACTCAGCCCTGAGAACCACTGGGTGTAGCCCCCAAACAAGACCACTCGGGCCTCACATGTGCTGCAGGTGTCCCAGCACTCGGCCCCCCACAATGAGGGCCAGATTTCTCCTCATGCGGCAACAATGCCCTTTGCCCTTCCACCTGGGGGTGTTCCCATCTGCCTCCATGGCAGGGTGGGGTGCAAGGGCGTCTGACTCGGAGACCAGATGCCTCTGTGCTCGCTTGCGCCCCCCTCCCTGGCGCCAGCATCTCCAAACCCTTGGAGCGCACCTCTGAGGCCCAGCCGGCACCACCGTCCTCCCAAGGGAAGGGGACCCACAAGGTGATGGAGAGTGGGGTGAAGCTACAGGCTTCGGCAGGAGGGGCAGATGTGAGGAGCAGCTGGGGTGTGGGGTGCAGGTGGGAGGGCGCCCCCTGCAGCCTGGCAGGGCATGTGCCGGGAGGATGGTGGGTTCTGGTAGGTTCCCGGGGGGCCTAGGAAACCCTGTGGCTGAGAGGGCGGAGGGGCGGGAGGCATTTGGGGGTGAATCCAGGGCGGGAGCGAAGGGCCAGTCATGCGCTTTGAAGCCCGGGGGGTCTAGGAGGCGCTCACGGAAGTCCCCCCACCCTGAAGGATTTGAGTAGGGGGGGGTCCAGGGACTTCTGGGGCCCCCAGCTTGGGGATGCAGCACACTGCCTCCACCCCAGGTAAGCTCTGGGCTCCACGTGGCACCTGTTTTATCTTCCTGGGTGGGGGTGGGGACCTACCTTGAGTGTAGCGAGGCAGGGAGAGGGCCTGGGGTCACTGCAGGGCCAGCCAGTGGCGGAAGGAAGGAGACACGGGACCCCCAGCCCAGGGGCTGGCTCTGAGCTTCGGAATGTGACCATTTATTGGGGGGGGGGCAGGAGAGGGAGGCTTCACCCCCCTTCCCGGCATTGGTACGATATTGAAGAGCAGCGGAACAAAAACGTACAAGACGAGAAAAATTCGGCACAGCCCCGCCCTCCCCCGAAACAACCAAATCAGGAACGAAAGAGCCCAAACCCACCCCCCACCCCCACCTCCCGGGCAGTCCTTCACTGCCCAGCCCGCCCTGTGGGGGTCGCCCCCCTTGGCGGGCTGGGAGGCCACCCCCAGGCCCACTGGGCCGGGAGGGGTCAAGGGTGCGGGCGGAAGGGGGGCCAGGTTTAGCCAGCTGGGAGCTGGATGGTGGCAGAGAAAGACGGCGTCGCCCCACACCTGCACGGGACCCTTGGGGTGACCCGGGGGTCCCCTCCGCTAGGGCCACACGTGGGTCCAAGACCCATTTTGTCCGCCTCTGCATTCTTGAAATTAGAATCGAGTCTCCTATCTGCTCCTTCCCCTCTCCAGGTGGTGGGGGGGGGCGCAATCCCCCCACCCTGGCCTCGGGGTCCCCTTTAGCCCCTTCTGCCTCCAGCGGCGGGAGTGGGGTGCTGACTCCGCCAACCCGGGAGGTGGGCGCGCAGAGACCCCTTTCTTCCACCCCCTACTTGTCTGCATCTGGATAGGGGGGCGTCTGGGGAGGGGGCAGCAGCCCGGATCCTGGGGTCCCTCCTGCCAAGTGCAGATGCAGCCAGAAATGGAAGGAAAACCTCCCCGTGCACCTCTTTCTTCTACAAAAGTGAATCTTTAAAGCCTCCGAGGGCCAGGGGGGATGCCACGGGCCTAGTGTGCATGGAACCCCGCAGGTGGGACTGACCAGGCAGGGACCCTCTGGTCAGGCCTGGGCCAAGTGCAAAAAAAAAAAAAAAAACAAAAACAAAAACAAGGAAGGAAGAAAAAAAGAATAAACCCAACAGAACCCCAAAGCAGGAGGAGGCAGCCCACCACCACCTTTGGGGAGGCGGGACCCCACCCTCGGACAGGGCCTACCCACCCGCAGCCGCCTTCCAGGCCAAGAAGTGCCCCCCACACTTGGAAAGGGTGTGCCCCCTACCCCAGCATCTCAGGACGAGAGGAGAGAGCCAGAGCTCCTCCTGCTGAGCCTGAGGAGAAAGGGGGTGCGGGAGGACCCCCACCCCCACCCAGGAGAGGGGGCCGGAGCCCACGCCCCTCTTCACACCCGAAAACGGACCTTGCCTGCTCCCCAGCACGGGAGGGGCCGGCAGGAGGCACAGTGGGGAGGTGACTGATGCCCCAATATTAAACACGGACCAGCTCGGGCTTTGGGGAATGGGGCGGGGGGGGGGGGGGGGTTGGGGAACGAGTCACGTATAAAAATAAAGCGAACCAGACGGCAGCCTCTGCCCGGCTCTTAGGCAGACAGCAAAGCAGCTAGGGCGCTAGGGTGGGGGGCTGATCCGTGCAAGTGTTGGGGGCTGCTGGCCTGGCTGACACCCCTGGGAGAGGTTGGGGGCCTCCTCCTGACCCTGTGCCCATGCGCCCGTGTCCCGGAGGGGGGCCCTCCCAGAGAACACAGTTCCACCTTCCTGAGCCCGCGCCCCCCGACTGGCCAGGGACGCTGGGGGGGTGTGTTAGGGTATTGGGGAGGGAGACACCCCCAGGGGGCTTCAGGGGAGACCCCAAAAAGATGCCCCCCATCTCAGCTCCCCTCAACCTCCACGTTTCTGGCCCCTGCCACTGTGACCTGGGAGGGTGCGCAATCACCCCCCCAAGTCCTCACATGTGCAATCACCGCGATACTTTGTTTCTTTAAATATCTCTCCCACCCGCCCCGCCCCACCCCACCCCTAGGAACCCCACAGTATTTTTTTCTATTTCTTTTTTATCCCCTCTTTTTTTTTTGTTTTTGTTTTCTTGCAAAACTAACTCTCACTTTCCTGTCATAAAATCACCTCTGAAAACAACTTCTTTACAAAAAAAGGTCACGAATGCCACGAACTCTCTCTCAGAAACACGTTTTCTATGGGGTCACCTGTCTCGGCCCCCCCCCCGGGAGGGGGGGAGGAATCACCTCTAAGACAGAGGAGACATACCAGCCCTTGGGGGGGGACGGGCCACTTGGCACTTGGATGGCCATGAAGCCAGCACAAAGGGCGGGTGGGGTCCAGGAGAGCCCCCCCCCAAGCCCGGGAGGCGGGGCAAAGGGAGGCAGGGAGGAAACCACCGCACACTTAGGCCTTTGCTACCTAACCGGGTCTCCTCCGGCCCATTCTCCTACAGCTTCTCACTCCTTCCACCCACCTGCGCCCGCCCAAGGTCCTCTGGAAGCAGCACAGGAAGGGAGATGGGGGGATGGGTGGGGAGAAGGCCTGTCCTGGGGGGTGCCGTCTGCCTGCCTCTCCAGGGGGCTGTGTCTGCTAGCACCTCGAGAAGAACCGGGTGCAAGAGCCGCACCCACGGGGGCGCTGGGAGTGACAGGAATGGCCCAGGTCTTGGACCCTGTTTTGTGGGATTGAGCCGGAGGCCCACAAGGATGCGACAGCACCAGGTGACAGCGGGGGACCCGAGCGGCTCCTGGAAGCACCTTTGGTGGAAAACCGAGGGCCTGGGGGGAGAGGGGTGCGGGGAGGCCCCTGCCCTCCCCGCTCCCCACCTTCCCGATGGGAGTCAGGAAAAGGGGGGCCTCCAGCGCAGGCCCGCGGAGGGGGGCGCGGCCCTCGCAGCTGCCAGGTTAGCACCGAGAAACCAGCCGGGCAAGAGCAGGGGGCAAGCTGGGGAGAGGCATGGGGCAGGGGCGAGGCGAGGAGGGGCAGCTGGACCTCGGTTGCTGGGGGCCCCAGCGGGCCCTACTGTGCGCAGGCAGGGAGGGCGCAGAGAAGCGGTGCCCCGGCCCAGCGCCCTCGAATCTGGTCGAGGACCGCCCCTCCCTCCGGGCCTGGGACTTGGGGGGTGCTCCGACTTCCGGGCCCCGGTGCGGGGCTGGAGGGGGCTGGGGGGTCCACACGCAGTGGTTTGGAGACGAGCAAAGCACAGGCAGAGGGTCGGCGGGAGGGGGGGGCGCGGGCGGGCGGGGCGACGCACGCACGGGCGGGCAGGGGGGACCCTGGACCGCCCCGCCCAGCCCGGCCTCGCGCGGTGGGGGGGAGGCGCCCCCCTCACTTGCCGGCCCCGCCGCTGCCGCCCCCCGCCACCCCCGCGGCGGCCACCTTCTCGAAATCCTCGGGGCTGCAGAACTCCTTGATGGTGACCGTCAGCAGGTTGCTGGTGACGTCGGTGACGACCACGTTGGCGCAGGGCGACATCTCGGGGCGCCAGTCCCCGGCGTCGGCGGGGGGCTCGGGGCCGGCGGCGGGGGTGGGCGCGGCCGGGCCGGGGGCGGCGGCGGCGGGGGGGCGCGCGCGCGCCGGCGACCCCCGGCTCGGGCTGGCGGGACAGGTCGAGCACCTCGGGCTCCCGCCAGTGCGCGCGGCCCGGGGTCTCGGGGAGCAGCTGCGGGGGCGCGTCGTCGGGGTCGGAGGAGGGCGGCGCGGGCGACGGGCAGCCCGAGGAGCCGGAGCTGCGGGCGTCGAGGGGGGCGGCGGCGGGGGGCGCGGCGGGGGCGGCGGGCGCGGGGGGCGGCGGGCCCGCGGGGGGCTTGTAGAGCGCGAACGAGCCCAGCTTGACGTGGCGCAGCTGCGTCCGCAGGACGCTGTCGCTGAACTGCTTGCTCTTGCCGATGACCCGGTTCCGCGACGGCACCTTGGGGCGCGCCAGGGGCCCCGCGCCCGCCGCCGCCGCCGCCGCCGCCGCCGCCGCGCCCGCGGCCGGGCCCTTGTCGAGCACCTTGAGGTTGAGGATGATGCGGCTGCGCTTGGGCTCGCGGGGCTTGACCTTGCGGTTGATGATGCGAACCGTCTCCGAGAAGGGCGAGATGGGGGGCCGCAGCCCGGGGCTGCCGCCCTGCGGGTCGGGGCGCGGCAGCGGCCGGCGGGACATGCGGTGGCAGCGGCGGATGTCCTTCTTGAGCCGGTGCACGGCCGCGCTCGAGTGCAGCTTGGGCGACGAGGCGCTGGCGCTCGGCTTGACAGAGAAAGGCACATCGCTGACGCGGAGCGCCTCGGCCTGGGCCTGGGCCCGCGCCTGCGGGGGGCAGAGGGAGGCCGTGGGTCGGGGCTTCCCGCCCGCCGCTCTCCTCTGCGCACCCCGCGGGCCCCGCCGCCCGGGCTCCGACGAGAGCCCGAGCGCCTCGCCTGCGGGGGCTTGCCAGGGACGGGGTGCGGGAAAAGGGGGACCCGAGCCACCCGGCGCGCCCCCGCCCCCCGCCGCGGAGACCAAGCCACCGCCCACAAGCCCCTGCCCCGACTCGCTGGCACTGCGCCAGCAGCGACCCACGGGGACAGACGCGAGCCGCCGCCGCCCCACCGGCCCGGGAGCGCCCGCGCTGCTACACTCTGCAGGGCCCCAGGCGCCCTCGCCTCGGAACTGCCTGGACCTCAACTTGGCCTCGGTCCCCTCCCCTCCCCCGCCGATCCCCCCCAGACCTCCTCCTCTGAGCTCCCGGCCCCCACCCCCATCTGGATCTGAGTCCTGAGTTGGACCGCGGGGACCCATGCAGGCGGGGCCAGGAACTGCAAACCCGCCATCCAGCCGCTGTGCCAGGGGTGTGAGCTGCCAGGGACACTCTCCCATCTCCCTGTCCCCCACCCCCCTGCCAGCTACATGGGGGTCCCCCTGCCATGCTGGGTTCAGTGCCAGGGAGCCCCCGAGGCCATTGAACCTGCGAGCACCTCAGCCAATCTCCCCTTTGCTGAGGACTAACAATCCCAGGAGGCTGATGCATCCTCTGCAGCGCGCTGGGCCCCTCCCCCCACCATGGAGCCCAGTAACAGGCGGCAGGGGTGGGGGGCTACAGGAGCAGAGATTGGGGGGGCAGGGCCTGGATTCTGGATGCAGAGTCACCGGGCTGGCTGTCCCAGGGGGGTACTGCAGCAGGCAGTAGGGGCAGAGCGAGCCTGGCGGTGAGAGAAAACAGGGCACAGAGGCGTTGACGCTGTGCCGGGCTGGGGGGGGAGGAGGTCCTCTACTGTGGGGGGATGTGTGAGGGTCCCAGTGTGTGCCTTGAATCGGGCCTCTCGGGTGCTGCTGCTTTAGCCAGTGCCGGGGAGGAGGGGGCATGCCCAGGTCCAGCCAGGCCACCGTGGACTCGACCACAGGCCCCCAGAGAGGTATTTGGTGGCTGATGGGCAGCGTGTGTCTGTGGGGACAAGTGTACCTGAATGCAAGTCTCCCTCCCTGGGTTCTCACCAGGCCGCCCTGCAACAATCTCCGTGGCCACTAGGTGGCAGCACACAGGGCGTGCCCACCCCTTCAGCTCCCAGCGGTTGGGTGGGGGGGGGGAGGGGGGGGTCGTGTCGCGCGGGCTCCCGGGGATAAGGAGCACACTGGACCCAGACCAAGGCGGAAGAACGCCCAGGGCCGGCAAAGCCCGGGGTAGGGGCTTCAGCGAGTCTCGCAGGAGCAACAGTTGATGAAGATGCAGCAGAAATGCAGTGCTCCAGTGCAAGTTTTCACTAGGAAAGCCGACAGATTCCTGGGGCGGGGGGGGGGGGGGCCCTGTCGTGAGGGGGTGGTCTCTCCTTTCTCTAATGTTTGTGTCCCAAACCTGCTAGAAGGGCTGCTTCTTGCTTCATAACTAGGAGGTATTTCTACAGGGGTCTTTCCTAGGAATACTCAAGTGGGGGCAGGCCTGACAGCGCTGGGTGGGGGGGTGCATGTGATATCTGGGATCAAACTCGGGGCCTCACACACGCAAAGCACCTGCGCCAACCCCACTGAACTCTCCAAAGTTAAGGCACTGGCCAGGCATCCTACCTGGTTTGATTCCCTGGGGTATCACATACAGTCCTCCTAGCCGCCAGGGGTCACTCCTGAGCCAAGTCAGGAATAGACAGCCCCCCCTTCCCGTTCCCCTCCCCTCAAGGGGTAATTTTTAAGGGTCCAGTGTCCTTCTTATCCTCTCTGGGGCCCTGAGTGAGAATCCCCTGAGAGAGCCCCAAGCTGCCTGAGGATGACAGCAGGTGGCAGGCCAGTGGCCCTAACAGCGGAGAGGTTCGTGGCAGCCGGCGTGGATTCTGTGACCCTGGGTAAACTGTCCACCCTGCTCTGCTCACCCCCTGGTGGAACATAACGGAACCCTTCCTCGTTCCGGCAGGAGACTACAGTGGGTGATGTGAAGGGCAGAGGCTTCCGGCCGCCCCGGCCAATGGACTGGCCACAGTCCTGCCACTGTCTAGGTCCCTTAGGCCTCTAGTCTGCCTCTCAAACCCCGAGTGTGTCTGCATGTGTGTGTGTGTGGGCAAGGCGGGCACTTCCCCCCTCCCCCAATCTGCAGGGGTCCTCTCTTCGCACCGGGATGAAGTCAGAAAGGCCAGACAGTGGGACTTCACGTTAAAGGACTTCTTCCCGGGCCTTGATTTTTGCATCTGTGAAACGGGGATAATACTCTCCCCTTTGGAGTCGGGGGCTGGAGGGGATGAAGGAGACGATCCGATTGGGGGTGGGGGTGGGATTCAAGGCCCAGAGCTCAGAAACCAGAGCAATCAAAAACAAAAAACACCAAAACACCAAAACAAAAGGCATTCTGTCCGTCAGTGACCATGCGCCATTCCACGCGCCACCACTAGAGGACGCCCCGGCAGCGCGGAGAGGCTGTCAACCAGCCGGGGCCCTGGGCAGCCTCAGCTCAGGACCAGGGGTGCTGAGGGGTTAAGGCAGCACCCCGCCTCCCGTGTGTAGGTTGGGGGGGGGGTCTCAAATGTGCCATTCTGGAAGCCGATGTTTCCTCTCACTTCTGCTTTAAATCCAGAGCAAACCTTGACATCTACGAGGGGGGAGGGTCCCAACCCACCCTCCCGGAGCTGTGCCCCTTCGGAAGAAACCAGAAATGGGTGGCCCTGCCGTCTCATTTCGGCACATCCACGTCTTCCCGTGAAAAATCACCCATAGGCACAGGCTTGGGGACGGGGGGTGCAGAGGTCTCTACAGTCATAATTCATGGAGGGGGCTCCCGCCCGCCCTTCCTCACCAGTAACGGGATAAAATGCACCCCAAACACTCTAAGATGGCTTTGTCGGGGGATGGGGTCCTCCCGGGGAACTGCCACCCCCCACCCGGCTCCCTAGAACCTGCAGAAACGGGGTGAGGTGGGCCCTGGCTCCGAGCCCAGCTGCCCGGGCAGAGGCTGTGGGCGAAACTCCAAGAAGAGATTGTTGGTCAAACGTCCCTCGCTGGCGCCCCTGGGGGGGTGGGGGGAGCTAGAGGTGAGCCCCAAGTGGCTCCCTGCTGCTTGCCCTGAGCGCAGCTGACCCCTCCAGTTCTAAGCTCTGCCGCCCCCCGGAATGGTCAGCGCCCCCCGTTCCTGCCGGGTCCTGGGGTCCGCGTTCTCCCCGCTTCCTAGGGTGCTCGAGAGCCTGACGTTTCCCGGGCTGCCCCCTCCTCCCAACGCCCAGGCCCCTCGGGTTGAAGCTGCAGCGGGCTGAGGCCTGGTGCCAGGGGCTTTTCGGGGGGCTCCCGCCACCCCAGGACCCGGCTGGGGCCCCGCTCTGCAAAGGCCCGCCCAGAAGGGCGGCGGCGGCGGCGGCTCGGTCCCTCCCTGGCGGCCACGCGCGGCGGCGGCGCCGGGCCGGGGGGCCCGAGAGGGGGTGCCGGGGCCGGCCCGGTTACCTTCAGCAGGAAAGTTTTGGGCTTGGGTCCCCGCTTCTTGGGCCCGTACAGCTCACGCTCCCTCTCCCTGCGGGACCGAGAAATGCCACAGGTTAAGCGGGAGCCCCCCCACCCCCATCCCGGCCGGGCCCCGCCGCGCGCCGGCCGCCCCCCGCCCCCCGCGCGGGGCCCCCGCACCCCCCGCCGGCCGCCCCAACTCACTTCTGCTCGAAGGCGGCGATGAGCCGCGAGTCCAGGATGTTTTCCTCGGGCTCCCAAGTGCTGTACCTAGCGAGTCACACACGCACAACGGGAAAAATTAAAAAATGAAAACCCGACGGGGGGCTGGGGGGGGGCGGAGGATGCCGGGCTCCCGCCGGGGAGCCAAGGTGCGCAGCCCCCCGCCGCCCGCCGGGGCAACGGGAGGGGGGAGGGGGCGCGCCCTGGGGACCCCCGCGACACTCACTTGATGGCCCAGCCCTTCCATTTCACCAGGTACTCGATGCGCCCCTGAAAAGAGAGGGAGAGGCGAAGAGGGGGTGGGGGCGGGGAGGATGCGGACAGGCGCGGCGGGGGTGGCCCTGGGGAGGGGGGTCCCGGCCTCGGCGGGACCCGCTCGGCCCCGAGCGCCCCCGGCCGCGCCGCGGGCCCCGGCGCTCGGCCCCCGGCGGCCGCTCACCTTGCGGATGCGCCGCTTGATGATGGATTCGGCCGCGAAGACCCGCTCGCCCACTGCAGACAGCTCCATCTTGCTCCGCGGCGCCCACAGCCCATAATACTCCCGGCTCCCGCGGCCGGTGCCGCACCGCTCGCGCACGCGCCGCAGCGCTCCAGGCCCCCGGCGGGCACGCGCGGGCGCGCGCGCGCCAGCTGCGGGCCGTCACGTGACCCCGGCCGGCCGGCGCGCCGTTGCCAGGGCCTCCCCCTCCCCCGGGGGCGGTTGCTAGGGAAAGGGAGCGCTCGCGGGGCCGGGGCGCGCGCCGGCTCTTAAAGGGGCCTCGCCGGGCGGGCTGGCGGGCGGGCAGCGGCGGCCGGAGACCCCGGCTGGCTCGGTTGGCGCGGGGTCCCGGGGAGGGGGCGGGGTGCCGGGCCGTCGTGTTCCCCCTCCCTGTCCCCCCACACACACCGTTTCCCCCCCTTCTTTCCGCACCCGACGCTGCCCAGGGGGCCTCGGTCCCCTGAACTCCCCCCCCCCCACACACACACCGGCCTGTGGAGTTTGCAAACAGTTAAATATGATACAGCAGAAATGCATTTGCTGTTGCCTGGCCGGGCCCTGCGGGAATTTCTTTAAAACAGAGCCCCAGCACCACCTTATCCATTATTTATGTATTCGTGGGAGTGTGGTTTTGTAACCAGTTCAGATGAATTAAAACAAAACAGAGGGGGAAAAAAAACGCCACCGCGGGAAAGGGCGTGGGGGCGGGCTGCGGTGTTCGAGCCCCCCACCCCACCCACCCCACCCCAGAAGGACCCCGTGTGTGCATCGGGGTCCCGGGCCCGCACCTGTCTGCACCCCAGAGGCCGGGTGGAGACCTCAGCGGGGCGGGAGGGCCGGGGCCGGGCTGCCGGGCCGCGGGTCAGCCGCCGGTCACTCGCAGCCTCGCGTGCTGTCGCCGTGCTCTCTGCTCCTCGGCCCGGCGTCCAGGCAGCTGGCCCCAGCCAGGCTCGGCCAGGAGGCAGGCGGGGACAGCAGCCCCCCCAGCTTCGCAGATGGGGGGCCTGGCTCCCAGGGGGGAGGGGAGGGTGCCGATCGCACGCCCAGTAGCCCCGCACCCGGATGGCTCCGTTTCTTTTCATTCTGAGTGGTTTAAACTTTTCTTTTATTTAGATCACACCCAAAGCCGTGCTTTGCAAACACATTTTTAAAAGCCATTCGCTGCGAGGCCCTTCCAGCCGCCGCCGCCGCCTCGGGGGCCTGCGCAGGCATTGGGATTGTTTTCGCCCCGCCGAGTCGGATGCTGGAATCCGCTTTTCTCCATGATGCCGAGGGAGCAGCGGCCTCTCAGAGTCAGAAAATACAGATTTCATCCTGGTTTCCGCGGGCGGGGTGGGGCGGAGCCGGGAGGGAGGGGGATCGGCAGAGGGGCGGGGGTCAGGGCTGCCTCTTGGACGTGCTCTGTGTTAGAAATGAGTTTGGCCTTTCTGGACGGGAACCTCAGTCCTTCTGGAGGGACACTCAGGGAAGCTGCGGCTTCCTGTCTCTGCCAGTTATCACCTTGGGGTTCCCCTGCCCCCCTTTAAAAACTGCACAGCCCGAAGATGCTGTTCGCTGCAGGCTGAGGGGGCCACTGAGCTCTCAGACATGTGTGCACGTGTGTATGTGCATGAGTGTATGTGTGTGTGCGCATGTGTGTATGTGTGTGAGAGTGAGTGTATGTGTGTGTGAATGAGCATGTGTGTATGTGTAAGAGTGAGTGCACACGTGTGAGAGTGTGTATATGAGTATGTATGTCTGTGTGTGAATGTGTATGTGTGTAAGACTGTATGAGAATGAGTGTGTGAGTGTGTGTGAGTGTGCGTGCGTGCACATAGGCTTGTGCATGTTTTGAGGCTGAAGGAAATCTCTGCTTGGCTTGGGTGCCAGGGACTGAACCCAGGTCAGCTGCGTGCAAGGCAAACGCCCTTCCCGCTGCCCCATTGGCTCCTATCCTAGTATTAGCTCATTTAATGCCTGTACCATTCCCTTGTTGGTGCTCTGGTCATTCTTCTCGCACTGCGGCGGGTTCCAGAGGCGAGAGGCGCTGATGCAGGCAGAGCTTAGCTTCTGTGTCCCGTGTCCAGCCCTGGCGCATCTCCAGTGGCCCCAGGACCCTGTCTGTGGTGTCCTGTGACCCACGAAGCTCAGGACCGAAAGGTGGAAGACAGACCCCGAGATCTCGCTGGTCGGCCTCCCCCTGGTACCACGTGCTGCGAACCAGCGCGGCCGAGAAAGGCTACGGAGCTATTTTTAGCAGGAGGACAACAAACCGCTTGGAAATATGCCTGAATCCGGTCGTAACCGGGCAAGGGAGCCTGGAACAGCGGGCGTGGCGGTGGAACCTTCTGGAAATGCCGTCTCACTCAGTTGTTCCTCCGTCAGAGCATCGTAGACGCTAGAAGAAGCCTCCGTCCCCAGCCAACTTGTGGATGCTTCTAGAAGAAAAGCCACTTTCTCTTACACGGCCAAGTGTCCTTCCGAGGCATCCGCTCCCTGACCCCCCCCCCATCCTGCATGGCCCCTTCCTCAATACCCCTAGAGCTCTCGGGACTCAGTCCTGGGGCTGTGTCTGAAGCTTCATTGGCCCGCGGTGACCTGGCCACCTGCACGGCCTCGGTCAGGAACCCAGGGGCACCTCCGGTCTCGCCCCAATTCCTCCAGTGAGGTGTGAGCTTACCAAGGCCAGGGACAACCCCCCAACATATTCCGTGAAGACCAGACAAGCCACCCCTGGGTGCCAGGCACATACCCCTCACTCACAAGACCACACAGCAGGGAGGAACTGGCAGCTGGGTGGGCCACTCTGTGCAAATCCTTTGAAGGGCCCCTGTCACAGATGGGACCCACAGGTGGCAGGCACAGTGGGCAGCTGCCCCGAGCTGAGCAGCAGGAGCCGCAGGTGCAAAGGCCCTGGGGTAGGGCCTGCTCAGTAATCCAGGAAGGCAACCAGTGGGGCTGGAGGCGACGGGTGGCCTGGCCTGGAGACTGTGTTCTCAAGGCGGATGGGGTCTTAGAGGCAGTGCAGAAGGGGCTCGGACTTCTAGGAGAGTAAAGGGTGTAAGAGGGGGGTACTCTAACTCCCACAGGTAAGGTGTGAACTAGAGAGAGCGCCCTCTAGTGGGAGAATTGGTTTGGGTGCATGGGTGGCAGATCACCCCCAAACAGAACCACGTGTCCCTTCCAGAGACCCCTCTGCTGATTGAACCCGGGGGTTCCCTCAGGATCCGGCCACAGGCTGCCCTCCCCGTCGACTAATCCGGAAATCCAGGTACAACTAGGGGGTGAGTCCAGCTCATAAATTTATGCACCCCCACCCCTCCTGGGGGACCCACGACCAAGGAAGGCAGGTGGGGCTGCAGAGAGGGCGGGCAGGGGCCTGGGCCAACCTGTCTGCTTCCTGCTCTTCCTGTTTGGCTGGAAACTGTTTTCTTCCAAATTCTTCTCAGTTGCATATATGTGTGTGTGTGTGTGTGTGTGTGTGTGTGTGTGTGTGTGTATGTGCATGCTATGGGGAGTTATCTCTCAATTCTCTCTTTTTTTTTTCTTTGCTTTTGGGGTCAAACCTGGCGATGCTCAGGGCTTCCTCCTGGCTCTGCACTCAGGAATCACTCCTGACAGTGCTTGGGAGGACCCTATGGGATGCTGGGAATCGGACCCCGGTGGGCCGCATGCAAGACAAATGCCCTCCCTGCTGTGCTATCGCTCCAGCCCCTCTCAATTCTCTTTTGCTACCCCGCCAACAAGGAGCTGGGAGGTGCCCAGAGAAGGGAACTCGGCAGTGGGTTCTACTCCCCAGGGCTGTGGGGGCTGTGGGGTGGCAAGGGGCATGGACTGGTCCCCGCGCCCAGGGCCCCTACTCTCAATGGCCCCCCCCACACTGTGTCCCCTCCCTCTGGCTTTTTCTCCTGGTCTGGACCTCATGGGGCCTCCTCGAAGCCAGTTTGGACCAAAATCTTTTTTTTCCTTTTGGATTTTGGGCCACACCCTATGTGCCCAGGGCTTACTCCTGGCTCTGTGCTCAGGGATCACTCCAGGGCAGTGCTGGGGGGACCACATGTGGTGCTGGGGATCAAACCCGGGTCAGCCACCTGCCAGGTGAGAGCCTTAACCCCTGGACTATGGCTCCAGCCCCAAAGCTGATCTGTTATAGCAGTCCTAGAGCTCCTGACAAAGTAAGATTTCTTTTTCTTTTTTTTTTTTTTGCTTTTTGGGTCACACCCGTTGATGCACAGGGATTACTCCTGGCTCTGCACTCAGGAATTGCTCCTGGCGATGATCGGGGGACCCTATGGGATGCACCCCGGTTGGCCGTGTGCAAGGCAAATGCCCTATCCACTGTGCTATTGCTCTAGCCCCCCAGATTTCTTTTTCTTTCTTTTTTTATTTCCTGGCAGTGCTGGCGATCCAACCCAGCCCTCCTGCATGCTGGTGTACACAAAGCAAGGTTTCAATTCTTGGGGCTGTAGAAGGCTGTAGAGGCAGGAAAAGGCATTTGCTTTGCACATAACCAACCTGGATTCTATCCTTATCACCACCAGGAGTGATCTCTGAGCACAGAGTCAGGAGAAAATCCCGAGCATTGCTGGAATGACCCCAGTCCACCCTCTGACTCCCCACCCCACCGAAAGATCAGCTACTAAGAGGTTTGGTTGGAAAATTCTTTTAACTTTCCGAGCTTTGCTTCCTCAATGCCTAGTTCACAGAAAAAAACAGGAAAAGATGCTGCCAGATGCTATACCCAGCGAGGCAGCCCAAACCCAGGCTGGGGCGCCGGGGTCCCCCACATTCCTGGGAGGAATTTTTCAGGTCGGCAGAGCTTTTGCTGAGCAGGTTGGCCATGGTGAAGGACAGGAATGTCCTGCCATGGACAGGGAGCTGCCAGCTGGTGGCCCTCCTGTCCAAGCAGGTTGCCCTTCGTCACCACGAAGTGGCCCCCAGGCTTAGAGAGAGAGAAAAGGTGGTCGGGCCCTGACCTTGCAGGTGACTGACCCAACTTCCATCCCCAGCATCCCATATAGTCCCCTGAGCACTGCCAGGAGCGATCCCTGAGCTCAGAGCCAGGACTAACCCCTGAGCATCACTGGGAGAGACCCGAAACTCAAACAAACAAAAAGTCTATGCAAGGCTGGAGCACACGCCTGGCATCA